GGTTGCGAAGCCTTTTGGAGGCTGATGGATCATTAGAACTTTGAGACTGCTTATAGGTGAAAGAAAAGGAGAAGAAGAGAGGGGCATTTTTACTTTGAGGTCAAGAGCAAGGACTCTGGCGTCAGCAAACCTGGGCTATGGATCCTGTCATTACCACTAGCTATCAGTTGAACTTGAGAACCTGATGGATCCTTTCTGTCCCCCAGCAGTGAAATGTGGATGATACCAACCTCCTCATTACTGGGAGGAGTCATGATAATGTATGCGCTGGGGCACAGTAAATACAAAAAGGTCTTGGTTTGGGGCTTGCGGGGGGGCGGTTCTCAGTAGAATTAAGAAATTGAGAGCAGAGAGAAATATGTGAAGAGGGCCCACCAGCAATGTGACCTTACACAGACTGGACAGCAAGTGCCTCTGTTTCCCCATCTGTAAGACAGAGCTGGGGACAAGGTGATCCAAGGTCATTCATTCCCTACTAGAGCACTCAGAGTAACAAGAGTTCTGTGATCACGAGCAAGCTTTTCTTAACCAGGAAAAAGATTAGGCTGCTTCGAAAGGAATTTTAACACATTCTGTAGATTTTTTTTTTTTTTTTGGTCACTTTCCTGGGGTTCTTTTTTTCTTTTTTGAAGGTATAAGAGAGTAAAGGAGAGAACAGTCACTTAAAAAGCAATTTTTTTTTTTTTTTTTTTTTTTTACCATCTCCCACACCAAACCAAAGCATTTTTGGTTTGTATGGTTTGGAAGCCTTGGGAGTCCCAGCCCTAATTTATTTCACTAAATATCCCTTTCTGAAATTAGTCAAGATGTCATAAATTCAATTCAGCAGGGCCGCCAAATTTTAACTACAGTGTGCAGGCACAGAAAACATTTTATTCTTTCATCTTATAGCATCTATTATCTAGATGTTTTTCTTAGAGTCGCTCAATGAGTTAATAAATTTAACAATAGAGAGAGATAATAACATAGCCTTTATTTAAGAAACATTGTGCTTGCTTCTACCACTGCAATGCCCACTCTTCAGCCCCAAGGCTCCTTGCGTGGCACAAAAATGCACAGTGTTATTGAAAATTTCTGTGGATACATACTGGAAAGTTCTTGCCCTCTGCATGAAAGTTTGTGCACAAAATTTGCCACTTCTCATCTTGTGAGCTCTAGTTAAATTCTGTTGGTATAATGCACTTAGCTAAAATTGCCAACCCTTACCCTTTCCATTCTGAAATTGATTGTTGCTGCATAGATTAAATTAACACAGAACCAGGGGCGCCTGGGTGGCTCAGTCGGTTAGGCGACTGCCTTCGGCTCAGGTCATGATCCTGGAGTCCCTGGATCGAGTCCGGCATCAGGCTCCCTGCTCGGCGGGGAGTCTGCTTCTCCCTCTGACCCTCCCCCCTCTCATGTGCTCTCTCTCTCTCTCATTCTGTCTCAAATAAATGAATAAAATCTTTAAAAAAAATAAAAAATAAAAAATAAAATAAATTAACACAGAACCAGCTTATTAGATTCCAACACCTCTTTGGATTTCTAGTATACACGTATATAGGAAACTTTAGCTCTTTGGTATTTCTTGTTGATGCGGTTTATGTTGTCAAGCTGCTTTCATTTTTTCTTCTACTTTGCCTCTCATTTCAGCTAAATATATTTAAAAAGCATTTTAACAAAAGAATTGACATAATTTCTGAGGTTTTTGCAGCAACGGGGTCTCCTAGATCCAAAAATATTCCAATAAATTGTCACCTCCTGCATAACCTTATTTGTTTATACATCCAAAAGCATATGTTGGTGTGGTTACATGCTGTTCTGTTCTTTCTGTGGTTATGCTACCTCAATATTAATACCTAACAAATTCCAGAGTTAATCAGTACCTTTCTCTTCTCTCCCATGCAACATACAGACTTTAGAATGCTTTCATCCTGATAACTTCCACCCAGTTAAATGCTGTATTGTCCAGTGCTTTAGTTCTGTACCTTCCCACCATAAATTAGACATTATCATCATTTATATTCTACACCCAGTGTTTTTTTAGATTTACCGTGTATTTGCTAATATCTTTGTTAGTGATTCTTTCTTGTATCCCAGATCATCCATTTGGGATCATGTAATTTCTCCCTGCTATATATATATTTTAAAATTTCCTTCAGGAAAGTCTGCTAGAGATAAATTTTCAGTTTGGGTAGTCTGAAAATGTCTATAATTTGCTCTCATTTTTGGAAGATATATTTTCGCTGAATATAGAATTTTACACTGACAGTTCCTCTTGGCACATTGAAGACACTGGCTTGTGGCATCCATTTTTGCTGTTGAGGAATAGACCTTCTGTCTTAAATGACTATTTCTTTGTAGGAGATTTATCTTATTTTCTGGCAGCTTTTGAAGATTTTTTTTATTTCCTTCCCTTTGGTGTTCTCTGTGAGGTGTCTCTGAGTGGTGTTTGTTTTTATTTATCCTGCTTGGGATTCATTGACATTCCTGGATCTGAGAATCTGTATCTTTCAACATTTCTGAGAAATTCCCAGCCAGCATCTGTTCAAGTATTGCTTCTTGCCCATTATCTCTTTTACTTCCATCTAGAATTCAGATCATCTTCTCCAAGGTTTTCAATTTTGCTTCCGTTTTTAATTCCTTTGTCTTTCTAGGCTGCATCTGGTCGATTTCTCTGGATCTATTCATTAGCGTTGTCTAATCTGTAGCTTAATTTTTCTATTGTATTTTTCTTTAAATTATTACTTTTTTTATTTCTTGAAGTTGCTTTTGATTCTTTTTCAAAAGTATTGGTCATACCACCTCACACCAGTCAGAATGACTAAAATTAACAAGTCAGAAAATGACAGATGTTGGCAAGGATGCGGAGAAAGGGGAACCCTCTTACACTGTTGGTGGGAATGTGAACTGGTGCAGCCACTCTGGAAAACAGTATGGAGGTTCCTCAAAAAGTTGAAAATAGAGCTACCCTATGACCCAGCAATTGCACTACTGGGTATTTACCCCGATACAAATGTAGGAATTCAAAGGGGTACGTGCACCCTGATGTTTATAGCAGCAATGTCCACAATAACCAAACTGTGGAAAGAGCCAAGATGCCCATCAACAGATGAATGGATAAAGAAGATGTGTTATATATATACAATGGAATATTATGCAGCCATCAAAAAATGAAATCTTGCCATTTGCAATGACGTGGATGGAACTAGAGGGTATTATGCTAAGCGAAATAAGTGAATCAGAGAAAGACAATTATATGATCTCACTGATATGAGGAATTTGACAAACAAGGCAGAGGATCATAGGGGAAGGGAGGGAAAAATGAAACAAGATGAAACCAGAGAGGGAGACAAACCATAAGAGACTCTTAATCTCAGGAAACAATCTGAGGGTTGCTGGATGGAGGAGGGTGGGAGGGATGCGGTGGCTGGGTGATGGACATTGGGGAGGGTATGTGCTATGGGGAGCGCTGTGAATTGTGTAAGACTGATGAATCACAGATCTGTACCCCTGAAACAAATAATACATTGTATGTTAATAATAATTTTAAAAAGTATTAGTCATTCCCCATAGCCTATTGTTCCTTACTGATACATTCAATAATCTCATTTGTGTTTTTAACATATTAAATATAGCTATTTTATATTCTCTGAATATTTCAATATCTTTGAGAATCTTACTCTGCTTCCTGTTATTTCTTTTGGTTCTCATTCATACTGCTGGATTTCCTTATGTAAGACGTGATTTTATTTTTTTTCTATGAAATGTTTATTTTCCCATGGAAACTATCTGAGCTCCGGATTGAGGGCTCTTTCCTCCACAGAGGATTTGCATTTGCTTATGCTGATTATCTGGAGCCATTACCCAGCCAGAACCATTTTAAATCAAGTACTTTGGTGTTTTTCAAGCCACACTGATAGTGTGAATGTGGATCAAAGCCTTTGTGAGGGCCCCCTGGTTTATAAATAATCAGAGGGGAATTTTCTTCCCCATTCACTCAGAACCAAGGTAGAAGCAGGCAGGCTTCCTTGCTCTCTTCTTCTGTACATCAGACTTTTGCTCCCTTTTTTCTTCCTTACACTTGAGAATGGAGCCCTTTGAAGTATCCCAGCTTACATGGGGTTCCTCCATTAAATTTGTCTGTACTGCATAAAGCCAGTAAAGCAGGTGCCCACATCTGCCAGGGTTTAGGAGAAACCCTCAAGTCCAAAGCCTGCTTTGGTCCTTCCTTGTCTCCTGAGGTTCCAGCTTCTACTTTGTTTGGGAATCTGAATATTGGCTCTTTTCATGCCCACTCAGCAATGCATTTCAAAAGGCTTTCAAATATATTTGCCCAGTAATTTAATTGTTTCCAGATAAAGATGGAAGTCTTTATATAATTAAACTGAGACCTAAATAAGTATGTATGTGATTATATACATGTTTATCATTGTATGTATTTATGGCATTTCATTTATATATACTTAGTATACTTATTTCCAGGTGCATCTGCTAATACCTTGAAATCTGATATACACTTTAATTTTTTTCGATTATTCTACAAGAATGATTGGCATGCCTTTTGTCACTTGTCTTCTTTAAGAAATATTTAGTATGCAGTTATTATAGATTAAATAAATGTAGTCAATTGTTACCTTGTTTTAAAATTCTCATTACATTAAGTAGAACTGCAGAATTTTTCAAAACTGCTCAAAGTATCAGGGTCACAGAAACAGTGATATTCAGGCCCAGTTGGTATAACTGGGAAAAGTTGGCTTGCATTGCATTTTAGAAAATCAAACCATTTTGAAGTTTGTAATAAATCACAATTTCAAGAAAACCTTTAAAAATGGTGAATCCCTTCATCAAATGAAGACTCTCTTGGTAAAGAAAATGATTTGCCTTTTTTCAAAAATCAGATTTCAGCTGAGAGGTGTTCTTCAAGTACTGCACACATCGTTCCAGTCAGTAAAGATAAGGCCCCCCCACCCCTAGCAGCCCTGCCCTGTCTCCCTAACTGGTGACCCTTCTTCTTCCAGTATGTGCGAGTATCCTTTGATACAAAACCTGATCTCCTTCTGCACCTGATGACCAAGGAATGGCAGCTGGAGCTTCCCAAGCTTCTCATCTCCGTGCACGGGGGCCTACAGAACTTTGAACTCCAACCAAAACTCAAGCAAGTCTTTGGGAAGGGTCTCATCAAAGCGGCCATGACAACTGGAGCGTGGATATTCACAGGAGGGGTTAACACAGGTAATTGGAAGTGGGACAGAGAAAGGCAACCTAAGGCCACAAGAATGTTGTAACTAAGACCATTTTCTCCTAAAGCTAAATATATTTGTATTCTCCCACCTCATCTCTCATCCCCGTGTGTCTATATTCACTGGTTCTCCATCCTCTGATACTTCTGCCCTTCATGACCAACATGATAACCATACAGGTAGTTCTCAACCAGGAAGAATTATGCACACCTGAGAAACAGGTTGGGCTATTTAATACTTGACTCTACAGAATTTGTAAACATGACTAATGGAATTTCACAGGATATTTTCAATACCTCAGGTTGCCAGATAAGCATCCAGTAATTTTTTTAAGAATAACCTTTGCTCTAAATTGGAAGCTCTGTGTCTGATCTTTAAGTGATTTTAAGTTTGAGGCAAATAGCTTTAATTTTTGTAAAATGCCCATTACATCTGGAACATAAATTGTGACAGCAAAGTCTGGAGTATTGTGTGTTTATTATTTAACATAATTTATTAAATCAACTCTGCACCAATAGAAGACACATCACACTCTGATTTCCAAACAATTTTTTCTCCTGCCAAATGAGTTTCTCTATATTGTGATACAGGTAGGCTGTCAAATCAATTCTCACAAACCCACTTACAGTTAAGTGCTTACATGCAGCAGATTATTAATGTGCAACTGATAATGGAATGGATGCCTCTAAATTGCTTTGACGTATTTCCCCAGCCTGAGTCAGAAGTGCCGATTGGAAATGCACCAGGAATACTGCAGTAAGTCCATCTAAACTTGGTTCAAGGCTCTAAGTCTGTGCAGCCCGCACACATTTGGAGCTGGGGAACAGTCTGGGCATAACCCTAGCCAACTAATTTTAAATAAGATGTTATCTCAAGATTATTTATTCATTTGTGTGCAGTTTGGGTAATACTTGAGCAAGACCTGCACTCAGAATTCTCCCCAATACCTAGAATTTGTGAACATCCAGCATGCGACTCCATAAGCTCATTTCAGCAGTGAACGCTGCAGACTGCGCATGCTCGTCATTGTTTGGTGGATTCCTAACTCAGTCTGTAAACTGACATGATCTTCGAATGACCTGCTCAGTCAGCTCTTTACTGTTTATTTGGTAATAATCAAATATCTACAGAGCTATTATCTTTCAGTGGCTGTTCAGGCTTTAGGCTCCAGCTTTCATTCAGTGTAGCGACCTCATTCACGCGTGATTATTTGGTCTTGTGTTTTCCTGGCATCCCCTGCACCTCATCTACAGACCCACTCGAAGGTTTCTAAAGGTTGAAAAGAAACTCTTAACAATCTTCTGTTTCTGGGAACTCGGAACGTTCTTTATTACCTTTCTTCTTTTATGAAATGCACCCAGTATCAAAGGAGGAAGTAACAGCATGAATACTGTAAACCAAAGAGTTCATCTCTGCCTCGCCCCAGGCTAGCATTCAATCCAATACCCAAAGTGAGGTTCTAATGGTGGTGTCTCAGATTAGGTAAGAGGTAAAGGTAGGATTGTGGATGATGGAGGGCATACCATGAAGTTAAACTTGTCCCTAATGGGCCCTGAAAGGAGTTTTGCATATAAATGCGGGGGGGATGAACACTGATATTCCCAGCTTAACTCTTGTATTTGCTTTTTTTTTTTTTTTTTTTTACCATTACTTTATCTCAGAAGACCCCTAGAAAAGCTCCCAAGTGAAATTGATATTCTAATCAACACCGCCAGCATGGCTCAGTATGGATTAGTGCCATTTACACTCTTTTATTTGATTTTTTTTTTTTAAAGGAGGGTCTTTCTGTTTGATCTTATGAATATTTCAGAATGGCATGATTCACCCATGTGTGTCCTCTCCCATGATTAAATTGCCTGGTGCATTTTGTGTGCTTAGTTCCGTGCGGTGTTGGGGCCCTGACTCTGCTAGACACGCAAAGGTGAAGTAAGACGCCGGCCCCCCAACCTGCCCCACAAGGAGTTTTACCCTCACGTGTGATTGTGACTCACAGAAGAATGTGTTACATAACATACTGAGCGATTCAAGATACACAAACTGCAATCCTGCTCAAAGGGAGAAAAAAATCAAATCCAACTCAGCTTTCCTATAGGAGATGGCACTAGGTGTGAATTTTTCCTTGAGAAATGGGTGGAATTGTGATAAGTGGACACAGCTTTTCTTAGAGAATATATTTTGCGTCTATAAAAATGATTACTTCAGAGGGGGGGTTAATGGATTAGAAGTTGCATCTTCTTTAAATGCAATTTGTCTTTATTAAAATGTAAGAGATAGATTCCCTACCATCTTATAAATGAGTTTTTTCACTTTTAAGTGGTGAGGAAGGCCACGGTGATGGGGAAGGTCATTATGACAGAAGAGGAAACCAAATTAGAATAATGAAGCTAAAAAGCTGTATTTATACATTTCCAACATAAATTTTCCATAGAATATGCCAAGGCTTTCTTTACAAGTAGGGTCTCCACATTATGTGTCAATAAATAGGAAGATGAAATCAAGTTTAACAAAATCTGATCTAAGTAACTACTCTATTTGAATGACCCTAACTCATACACAAACTCTGGTGTAGATTTCGTATAATATTCTATACGGTGCTTTTTATAGGATATACTCATGGTGTTGGTTCTTAGCCATACTAAAATCATTATGCTTATAGTAGAAGAAAAAGATTCCCTAAGTTTAAAGAATTGTATTTATTTTGTTTTGTTTTTTAAAACATTGGATGCTTTTTAATTTTTTTTCCTTAGGAAAAAAAGAACTTAAAGTCAAATGAGAAATGCATTGCTAGAGGGGCACCTGGGTGGCTCAGTTGTTGGGCGTCTGCCTTCAGCTCAGGTCATGATCCCAGGGTCCTGGGATCGAGCCCCACATCGGGCTCCCTGCTCGGCAGGAGGCCTGCTTCTCCCTCTTCCTCCCCCACTCTCCCCTGCTTGTGGTCCTGCTCTCACTATCTCCCTCTCTCTGTCAAATGAATAAATAAAATCTTAAAAAAAAGAAAAGAAAAAAGAAGTGCATTGCTAGAGTTCATATACAAGTCCCACAAATGTATCTGACATTAGAGCCACAGATTTATGTTCTCTTCTGAACATTTGTGTAGAAATGTGTCAAAATTTTATATTCAGTGCATTTAATCTTGCGAGACACATTTATCACAATTTCCTTTTGAACAATGGAGAGTAATTGCTTTAAAAGAAAGGGTAATACTTCTTTTTCTCTTAGGTGTTATTCGCCATGTTGGAGATGCCTTAAAGGACCATGCATCCAAATCTCGAGGGAAGATATGTACCATAGGCATCGCCCCCTGGGGAATTGTGGAAAACCAAGAGGACCTGATTGGAAGAGATGTAAGTCCTAGAAACTGCGCCTGTCTGTGACTTCTCCTAAAGGTGCTATCAAAAGAGTAAAATAAAATTAGAATTCAAAATATACATATTATAGTACTCTTTTGGTCCCCACCTCCCAAAACGAAATTCATCTGAGCAATAGTTTATTCGAAGACCATGTATTTCCCAAAATCTACCTATATAAACTCCATCAATTCTTATGATCAGAAAAAATCCTAAGTAAGACATACTAACTACCCTCTTGGTTTGAATCAAGCAGTGGTCTTTCCTCGCCCATCAAATCTTACAAGTGCTGTTGGCACAGTTCGGTTGAGATTAATTAACCCCAGGTAACAAACTCAACAAGGTGCCGACCTCTCTTTCCTTCTCTCAGGTCCAGAGCCACACACTGATTGATCAGCCAGTTTTTGCCAGAGAGAACTTATTTCATTTTTTCTGAGTCATCATCTTCCTTCTGTTTCTTCTAGAGTCTTGTTTTTGTTTTGTTTTGTTTTGTTTTGTTTTGTTTTGTTTACCACAGACAGGTTATCCCCAACCTCCTTTAGAGGGTTTTCTCTCCTACTAACCACCAGACTTTTTCCCCTATATAACACTTCTCAAAATTCCACTTGATAGGAATTGTAGTTAAACTATATATAATGGCCATACTTTATTCACTGCTTTTTTCCCCTGGTAATTTTAATAATTAATTATTGATCATTGCACCTCTACATAAGGTCGATATACTCTTCCCTTCCCAATCAAGGCCTGCCGTAGGATATAACAAATGTGCTCAGTAGTTTTTCCAAGTTCCATGAGGTCTCTCTGAGCCAAAAATTCAAAGAGCTGGAGAATTAACTGGTCTTAACTTCTTCTATTGTGCAGCAATACAGTGAAACCATCTTATTTTAATAAAACAACACAGTCTCTGCAGTTTTTAATACAATGCAAAAATACTTTGAATAAAAAAAATCAAACATCATGAAATGCAATAAAACACTCTTTAAATCCTTCAGGACCTTTAAGTGGATAAGAAGCGTCCTTATCAATGCTACACAATTACCTGTAGAAACACTAATTTATCTAGAAAACATGGAGTAAGAAATTAAGAGAAATTAAGAAAACAAGAGATATTAATTTATCAGTGTAACAGTCTCTTAACTAAAATTTACTGGCTGTTTTATATCACTGATTTACATCATTGATTATCTCAAGCAGCAATTTCCAAAGTGATACATAGAACTGACTGGAAAAACAAGCATTGCTAATTTTTTTAGAGTATCTGGAACTAGTCTTTGATGAAATATATTTGGGTTAATGCTTGCCTTAGATTCCAAGCTGGCTTTGAAGTTAATGGTGAACTACAAGTGCACTTTATTAATGAACGACTTAATTATTTAAAAATGTTGTGATGATTCAGAAGTCATTTTAAAATGTTCATTGCTTCAGGATCTCTATTGTAAACCTAAGTTACATTTATTCAGGTTTTTTTTTAAAGATTTTACTTATTTATTTGAGAGAGAGAATGAGAGAGAGAGAGCATGAGAGGGGGGAGGGTCAGAGGGAGAAGCAGACTCGGGAGCCCAATGCGGGACTTGATCCCGGGACTCCAGGATCATGACCTGAGCCGAAGGCAGTCACTTAACCAACTGAGCCACTCAGGTGCCCTAGTCAGTTTTTTTTTGGTGGGGGGAAAAGCCACTTTGGAACTTTCTTATTCAGATGAACTATGAATAAATGGAAGCTGAAGATTTCTTTATTCAAGATAGAGTAACCAAATAATTACCTCAATTGCCTAAACATTTGCCAAGAATGCTGACCTACTGCCGTTTTGTGTCATTTTGTGTGTCTTGTAAATTCTACGTGAGTGCAGAAAGACAGTACTTACGTTATGTTTACTTGCCTTGCTGAGTTGGAAGAATAACCCCTGATTCATCTTCCTCCAGTTTGAGCTCCTTTCCCCTGATTTCACCTCCTCTTGCGCTTCTCCTTTTTACTCTTATTTTCTTTCTACCCACACTTGTTCCCAGTTTTATGTCAATAGGAACTTACATAGGCCTATTGCAGTGGGACTTAGTCGCATTGTCTGACTTCCCAATAAAAAAAATAGTCTCGTTCCCCACGCAGAGGGCAAAAGGAGGCACTCATGTTCAGTAAAATGTGCACATTCATTCTCCCTGCTCAACAGGGGGCTCTTAGAGGTAAACCGTGGCCCACAAAGATCCAAGTGAACCTGCAGAGAGACCATCGAAAAAAGGATTGACATTGACAAATTGTAAAGAGCACAGGAAAAACAGTTGTATTTTACTTTCTTAATAAATCTTTGACCGAAATCTATTGAATTTCAACCACTCTAGTACAGCCCGCCCCTCATCCCCCGCCCCGTCAAACTGGGGAGTTGGGATATGCATAGGGTTTCTCAGGCCCTTGTACAGCAACAGAATTAGTTTTTCACGTTGTAAATTACTTGGACCAAAGTGCTGCTTTTGGTGTACAAGGTATGTGACATAGTTTGAGGGAAATTTTTATATGTGTTTACTATTCTAATGTTATAATTAAAAAGGAATATGGTGCTAAGTTGTCACAAAAAGAAGTATTTGAATACAATATTAGTGATCCCATTTGAAAGTCCCCCTAAAAATCATTGAAGTAGAAGTGTTATCTGATAAACTTCTTAAGTAGTTATAAGAACTTTCATAGCCTAATTTAGCGCCTTCTGTCCTTTTCCTTCCATTTTACATAACCAAACTTACATGTAATAAACATCAAGAAAATAAACCTTATAGCATCAGACATCAGGTAGCAGAGGAAAAAAAAACTAACATATTATTAAAAATTTTTACCACTTCAGAGTTCTATCAAAATGCATTCATTTAAAAAAAAAAAAGTTGTATTTTTGGTCTGGTCTATGTCTGTATTCCAGAATAAGGTCGAAGCGGCACAAAATAAATGTCAAGGGAAATCTAAGACACTTACTTGAAATAAAAATGTAAGGATAAAAGAAAGGCTCCATTTCTTATGCCTAATATTATATTACAGTAGATTTTTTCCAAACTGATAGAATATAAAGATCCTTTTATTTCTGTGGGGATGACTCTGAGATGAGCACTTTCAGAAGCTGAACATTCAATAGAGTTCTATAGTTACTTTATTGGTAGAAGTGGTAGACACAGCAGTTACTGTTCATCCTAGCATTGATTGTCCCTTTGGAAGGGCATTGTAAAGAAAGGCAAAGACTAGTCCTACACATAAAAAAGAAAAACTAACTTTCCCTTGGGTCTGCTTCTAGATATTCTGAAGCACCTACCTCCCTTCAGCTCTTATCTCTTAGCTAGACTTTAGGTGAGACTTTAAAGATATAGGGCATCTATCTTTGGCTTCTCAGAGTTCAACTTAGAGCCTCACGTGTAGCAGGTGCTCAGGAAATATCAATGAAGACAGATTGGGCATGACGAGATTCAGGCTATGCGGAAAATTAACGTTACAGAAAAAAAATGCAATGATACATCTTATCTAGTTCACAACTTTACCACAATTTCATCTCCACACATGCCCCCAAGCTTGATCATACTTTAGTAACTATAATGAAGGCATTTTTTAATCAACCATCTAAATACAAAACTATTTTCTTATGTAGCAACTCAAGGTGGGAGGTGGATGGTGAAGCTTCTACATGTTGGATATGGGGATAAAGAAGAATGAAATGAGAACAGACTTTTCTGTAACCCCTTTGAGAGACGCATGATCCACCCAACTGGGTAATGAACTAGCCTTGATTCTTTAAATTTAAATATCTTCTACTTTATTCAATCAAACCTCCAGTTAACAGATCAAAATAGCAGAATTTGGTGAGAAATAATGTTATGAATACTGAGATGGTAATAATTTTTGTTCTGCCATTACACGTGAAAATGAATATTGTTCAACTGTCAAGTTTTACTACTCCTCTGTAATTTATCCGTATGATTCCTACTGCCCTGTTCTTTTCTTACAACCCATAATCTACTCTTCAGTCAAACTGAGCTCAAGGCTCACTTCCACTAAGATGTCTTCCATGACTAACTTCACCCATAATGTCATATCTCTGATTATAATTCTCCTACAACCATCCTCTTCCCCAGTTTAGGTAAAAGTTCCTCAGAAATAGATTCAATTGTTTTCTTTGTTTCTTGTCAACCACTAATATAATACTTTGCATGAACATGAGGTACTTACCTGTGACCTAAAACTCTGTAAGAGTTTGTTCCTTCATCTCTAAGTGAACTATAAAAACACATGCTCTATCTTTATACAACTTGTATGAGCATAATCATAATAATAGTAATTGTAATTACTGAGCTCCTATTTGAGGAAGCTCTCTGAGATTGTATATATTAGCCTTATGAGGTATTATTATGTAAGGAAACCAAATAAGGGCTAAAACCAAGATCCACTATCTTCAAGGCTCATACACTTAACTAGTAGGTTGCCAAGTAATATAGAAGAAAATATTTAATGATGTTTTTATTGTTAGTTGAGATACTGGCAAATATCTCATGGCTGTAAACTGAACTAAAAAATAGACTATGAGAATGACCAGAACCCTTTTCTTTGTCCCTAGAGAATCTTGATCTGGATAGATGATGAAAGTATCCCCATTGTAAAGTCAGGAAAGAACTTCCATTGAATTCAATTTTTACATGACTCATTGTAGCCTTAGATTTCCCTACTTTGGAAAACAGTCTGACCGGAATTGTTTTAGGTAATTGAGCAGTTCCTAAAACCTTTATAATTTGTCATTTCCAATCTAGACTGACAAAACACATGCCAAATTAAAAACCCAGGCATGATCATAAGAAAAAGCACTTTTCATTTTCACTTGAGGATGAAAATTGTATTTGGGAAGATTTCCAACACATCACCTTATGTGGTTATTAAATTATCATGACATTCAATGATATCTTCTATTTTCCCCTAAACCGTAGATTTATTCTCAGAATTTTATAACCTTTAAGAGTTCTTATATTTAATTGGAAAGTATT